CATCATGGTATTGGTCTTTTTTTTTCTCACAAGACCATCATAATGATCTGAAAAATAAACACCTCATTTTATGACCAGTCCTTCAGGAGAACCCAGTTGTTTTGCTTTAATAATTTGGGTTCTAGCCACCCTCTACCACAGATTGATTTTTCACAAGATATTCAAAGATTTGATTTGTCTTTGGCTAATTCATGACAGTTCTCTGCTGTGATACAGCCAATGTGTACATATGTCATTAGCAGAGACATATCTGTGAATATCTAGTGGCACTTGGTACTGGGGAGGTCCTAAGGTGCGCTGTCTTATTGTAATGGATATTCAGACACAAGTGACATAGTGACAGATGACGTTTTACGTTAATTTTCTACAACGTCATGTAAGGATCCTGAAGTACACTACTTGTGGTAAATGTTCGAAGTGTAATGTATATGGTAAATTCAAGAAAGGAGACCGAACTTGACATATTTATTTACAGATAGGATAAATGGTGCATCACCATGCCATTTGTTTACTTAGATTTAGAATTCGAAAGAGAGTATGATTGTGAAAATGTGTGCAGTTCTGTATGGCGGTGAACCTTTAAAAATTGGACGTAAGTTTCTGATTTGGATGGCGATTTTAATACCTTTCTGATGTCAGTATCTGTTTCAACGTGGCGGCTGTTCACTCACAACACAACAAAAACGTGCTCTTGAATAATTTTAACAGGCCCCAATAATGAGGGTACAAGTGATCTAACTTTTAGATATTAAAAAGTACACATTTAAGTGCTTTGGCATATATACAATACCTATATAGGCCATATTATACAACGCTGTAACGAAACTTTGGTTTCATTCAAATATCTCTGACTCGGCTACTTTTATCCTACAACGGAAGTTGTTGGTAAAATTGAGCCAACGAACAGCGACTGTCTGAAAGTGTTTAACCACATTTCAGTATATTTTAATGTTAATGTTCAACTCCAAAACCGAACTTCAAGAAATAATACTACGGATATGTGAGATGTGTTTTGTTTTTCATTATGTATGTTTTAATTCTTAAAAATAAATATTCTATAAGTACACTTACAGAATGTCAATTCTCAGTTGATAACATGTTTTCTTCGCTGAGATGTTCTAACACGTCTTTCCATGCCAAGTCTGGTGATGAAAAGCAGAGCAGAGGCTGCGTGCTAAAAATGTAAATAAAAAGTTGTCATTTTAACACATGCATCACCACGTATCCTCTATTATGACCTCTTAATTTTTTGCTTATACGTGGACTCTAATCCAGACCCACCTTCAATAATTGTCATATGGCTAAATGTGTTTCTGCCACGGTCATACTAATCTTACATGTACATTTCCGCGCGGTACCGTTCACACGGATTTTCGGGTGACCCCCTCTTGCCATAATTCCAATTATTGAACAAAGCAAAAATATTAATTATTTAATGTAGGTTTATTTTCCTCTTTGGATTATAAATGTCAACACCAGAAACTAAGAGAGACCGGTTGTTAGGCAGGCCTCATAAAGGATAGTTCTGCTCTGGCGTTGATGCTGCTTGTTAAATAACTTACGATGGTTTTAAAACCTAAGATGGAAATTAACCTTTATATTGGCCTCTCTCCGAACTCTTTCGTTTAAATGGTAGCAACAGAAGTAGAAAAACACATAATTTAAATTTTAATGATGGCTGAATGTTAAGCAGACGAAATATCGGAGGGTAAATTTTCATTTTCACATTTCAAGTTCCATGTATATATTGAGGTTTAAAGGTGCATATTAAGCGAGTAGTTATGTCAAATCATTGTCACTAATAAACCCGACTAAATGCCAACGTAAAATTTCAAATCGCAGATTTCAAATCACAGAATACTATGTCATTGCCCGTCCCTACCCCCCCCCCCCCCCCAAAAAAAAAAAAAAAAAAAAAAAGAATTTTTCTGTGTACTTTGCTAGCTTTACTGTCTGGAGGGTAAAGAAGATCAAATTTGCAACAGAAATTTGAAGAAGGTGCAATTTTAAAACATTTTTCGGCTGACCGAGTCATTTATTTTATTTTATTATTTGCCTTTGGTATGTGGCTTTTATTTGGGTGTGTAAGAAAGTGTGCAGTAAACTATTCGTATTTCCCAGAAAACGATTATTGAAAATAAGACGAAAGTTATGACAGACTTTAGACTTGTTAGGCACTAGCTGACCATTTAAACATGTAATGACAAAAAGATGTTTCGACCCCCCCCCCCAAAAAAAAAAAAAAAAAAAAAAAAAACACTTACACACGTGTTATATTGTAATACGACAAATTGGCGTAAGATTCAAAAGTCTACTTAAATAAAAAAAAATTCCATTTATGTGGTGGGCCCTGGAGTATATTTCTGTACACTTTTATCTTGCAAAGAATTGTGTGACAATCTGAAAAATAAACTCCATGCGCAAAATACAGCGACATAAAGGGGGCGCATTTTTATACTTTCAAAATAGTAGCAATAGTTTGTTCGACCTCGGGTAGGTATGTGTCAATAATAGGTAAAGTGCTTTTATTCGGTATAATTCGTGTCACAGTCTGATAAACGGCACGTTTAACAGACCACATTCAGCTTGCTGTGCTGAACTATCAGAAATGTTGTTCTTAGCCGTTTTCACAGCGTTTGCTACCACCGTCACTGGCTCTCCCAGTTTTGCTGGCTTTACCCATCACGTGGTTTTAAAGGATGACGTCTACTTTTTATCCTGGAAATTCGACAATGAAACCATCACGTTCGAGACCCAGGTTCGAACCACAGGCTATGTAGGACTAGGATTCTCTCCCAATGGGGGTATGACAGGGGCGGATATCGTCATCGGATGGGTGAAGGACGGAGCCGCTTATTTAAAGGTAATATAAGAGGCATTTGGGTGCTGGTTTATTTTTCACTTAGATCACGTCTTTAGTGTGTCCAGATTGACTTTCATCGACCACAATTAAGTCTTGATTTGCGGACAAGGATTCAGCGTTGTTCTACCCTCTACCAGGGCTGCATATTATATTACGTGGCCTTATTCTCTAACGCGACCCTGCGAGCAGCGTTGTTCAATGCCTTAGTGTTTTTAATGTGCAGAAAGGATTCTCGAAATATTTCGTACAAAAAATTCCTATGCCTTCACACTTATTGTTTGTTTACTAATTCATTTATCTATTTTTTCCAACGGTGCGAGGTCGATGTCGTCCCATATTTCATCTTAGCTAGTGTTGCGGACGAGACGGTGATAGAAGCAACAAGAACGAAGTAAATAAATAAATAAATAATTTAATAGCGAATAAATGGTTACAAAAATTGAATGAAAATAAAATTAAACCAAATCGAAATGGATCGCTGTCGGTTGGACTGCTATCGAGAGATACCACTGTCGTAAGCCGCCGGGATGACTGCTGGGTCGTGGGCAGNGTCGTAGGCCGGTGCGAGGCGCTGGAGAGAACTGCTGCTGTCGAGCCGCCGGTCGTTGCTACAAGCTGTGGTCGTCGGAGTGTGTCGATGCCGCACTGCCTACCGCTGTAGAAAACGTCCAGCTTATATAGCAGCTGGACGCAAAATCTGCTCAGGTACGGTGTTGAATGCGTTCACTATTGGCAGAGTTCATTAAGTAGGGAAGTTGAGTAACTGTCGCTGACAGCTAGTTTGGTTCAAGGGCGCCAAAATGACAACATCAACAACACGCTTCGTGCCTTCTAGTACCCGAGTTCAACGATAATCCCTTACTGCGATCCTTTCATTGGCAAATAGGGGATAATGGTTTTGGGTACTCACCTTTAGAATATAAAAGACAATTTAAGGATTAGTTTGCACTAAAAACGGTCGTGCTTTCAATAGCAAGCCCTATTTTCGATAAGCTCCACAGTGTATTTGTAATCAAAATGTGTGCGTGCACATTTATGCGTATGTTTAAGTTTCACGTACAAATGTCTAAGACTTACAATATCGCTGCAGGATATATCGGTAGGGAAAATCTATATTGCCCATATGAAAATAATAGCAAATGGGGCGATAAAAGGCTTTACACTTAAACCTGAAAAAACACGCGAAGCATGACTTTCAGAAAAAAAGTAGCACCGCTTTATTACTATAAGGAGTCAGAAAACAAGATGAAGAACTTTCACAAGTTGTACATTTTGTTTGCCTTGGTTTTTGCGTCTACATATATATCAACCGACGTTTAATTCCAATGTTAAACGATTTTTATCATGATTCATAAATGGCGTTTATACTATTTTTTGCCCAAAAATAAATAAATAAATAAATAAATAAATAAATAAATAAATAATTCTCTTAATATAGGAAAAAGTAGGATAATCCCCTAAAATAGGTAAAAATAGTAACTTGACGTCCCGTCAGTTTCATTTGCTTTCATAGCTTTGTAAAAAAAAATTTGTTTTCATCCACGTTAATTTCATCTTCCAAAATTCTTTGCTATTGCTGCTTATTTCTTTTTACTGTCATACAGACTCTGTTACTCACACTTCAGCTTTCAAGAAAAGAGATCAATGAAAAGAAAGAGAATTGTCTTTTACTTCAGTCATTATTGTTTAAAAGTTCAGTCAATACACTAATTAAGCTAAAACTTTAATACCCATCTAAATCCAAGCCTATTGATTTATGTGTAATCTGACACTACATCAGTATCTGCAAATACATTTCTAAACATTGCAACAGGGTAAATGTTAGGTCTCAGTTCTGAAGCACTGCTATCATTTAACTCCATTTTGACTACAGTATCTATATCAGATTCCCTTTGATCATTTGTCCCGTGTGACATAGCCTCATCTTGAAATTCTCTTTTTATAGATTGGAGTGAAACCATTGTCCCATGTGGTATATTCTCTTCTTGAAATTCCTTTCTTATAGTCTGAAGTGAGGCTTCTGTGTGAATCATTTCATGTTGTTTGCATTGACTTCTGATGCTATAACTCTTTTCACAATACTTGCATTTAAATGATTTTTCTTCAGTGTGGTTCTTTTCGTGTAGTACACAACTTTGTTTGCTACAGAAACTATTTTCACAATACTGGCATTTGAATGGTTTTTCTCCAGTGTGAGTCCTCACATGTTGTTCACATTTACTTTTGACGCAAAAACTCTTTTTACAATACTTGCATTTAAATGGTTTTTCTCCGGTGTGGTTCATTTCATGTTGTATACAACTTTGTTTGCTACAGAAACTATTTTCACAATACTGGCATTTGAATGGTTTTTCTCCAGTGTGGGTCCTTTCATGTTTTATAAAATTTTGCTTACGACCAAAACTCTTTCCACAATACTGACATTTGAATGGTTTTTTTCCAGTGTGGTTCATTTCATGTTGTAAACAACTTTGTTTTATGCTGAAACTCTTTTCACAATACTGACATTTGAAGGGCTTTTCTCCAGTGTGGGTCCTTTCATGTCGTATACAACCCCGTTTAACATTAAAACTCTTTTCACAATACTGGCATTGGAATGGTTTTTCTCCAGTGTGGATCATTTCATGCTGCATACAATTTCGTTTACCACTGAAACTCTTTTCACAATACTGGCATTTAAATGGTTTTTCTCCAGTGTGAGTCTTTTCATGCGCTATACAACCCTGTTTGATTTTAAAACACTTTTTGCAATACTGGCATTTGAATGGTTTTTCTCCAGTGTGAGTCCTTTCATGTTGTTTACATCTACTTTTGACACTATAACTTTTTTCACAATACTGGCATTTAAATGGTTTTTCTACAGTGTGGATCATTTCATGTTGCATACAGTTGGGTTTACCACTAAAACTCTTTTCACAATACTGGCATTTAAATGGTTTTTCTCCAGTGTGAATCCTTTCGTGTTGTTTATATTTACTTTGGCGGGTAAAACTCTTTCCACAATACTGGCATTTGAATGGTTTTTCTCCAGTGTGGTTCATTTCATGTTGTATGCAACTCCATTTAACAGTGAATCTCTTTTCACAATACTGGCATTTGAAGGGTTTCTCTCCAGTGTGGGTCCTTTCATGTTGTTTACAACTAGGTCTGACAATAAATCTCTTTTCACAATACTGGCATTTGAAAGGTTTTTCTCCAGTGTGGATCCGTTCATGATGTATACAGCTCTTTTTAACACCAAAACTCTTTTCACAATACTGGCATTTGAATGGCTTTTCTCCAGTGTGAGCCATTTTGTTCCTTTTTACAACACTGACTCATGGATGGTCACTTCCCTCCTGTCATTTCTTAAGTAGTTGTTTCTGTTATTTAATCCCCTTTCACATGATCTGCATTTGTATTGTTGCTCTCCACTTAGTTTATAACATTTTTCATGGTTTCTGCAGGTATACGTTATGGTGTTCTTGTCACAGAACTGGCAGGTGTTGGTCTTCTTGCTCCTTGTTGAGAACAGTAACTGCTGGGAATCTTGTGACAAGTACAAAACCAACCTCTGTTCTCATAGTAATGTTCAGGTATGCATTCACTAATAGCCAATCCTTCACCAGCAGCACCTCCAATACTTCAGGTGTTTATTTTAGTTACTTACATCTTGAATTCCTAGTTTTGACTATTGTGATTCCACATTTACCTTAGTCCATAAATAACCCACTATGGTGTTCTATTGTTCAACTAAATGAAAAACAAAGTCTTTAAAGTCAATGTGCCTTCTCTCTTGAACATCAGATAGGTACACCCGATAAATGAAGATAAAGAACTTGCCGAACAATACCCGACATTTGAACGCAGCGACGAATGGCACTTAGAGCTCTATGAATACCACAATTCTCTGAGTTTATAAATTACAGCTGTTTAGAATGGACTGTACTTACAAATTTCCATGCAGGGCGTCACGCACTCAGTCTAGGGTGTGACTGAAAAGCGCAATACACTGCAATACAGCGGTCGTGACGACGTGGAACAACTTCTTGAAGGCTAGTTGCAGTTAACGTGAACGAAGGGTTGCAATCTCACGAGCGACCACATTTCGATCGAAAACATCTTTCAGCAAAGTTCCGTGATGCTATCTGATTTCCGATTATAACCGCGAACAGTAGCCTGAATAACTAGAAGTAAACCTCAGAGTCAGATAAAAGTTACAAGATTCGTATCAGTGAAAAGGGTAATACACTCTTGTTCGATACTATTAGTCTAATAGCTTCCAGGACAAGCCGCATTGCAATTCATCAACGGGGTGTTTGAGGTTAGCTTTACCGTCAACAGGTTAAAGAATGTGCTTTATTAGAATTTACTGGTAGATTTTAAATCTTATATATTGTTTTATATAAAAATATTGTTAATAATATTTAGACGAATTAAAAATAAACTCCCTTTTTCCAATGGACACCGAAATAAATGATCGAACGAACCGCCCTTTTTTGCAGGAAAAAAACGGTCTGCTCTTAGTAAATTTTTCTAGGTAGACGAAGGTTTCGTGCGGAAAAAAAGACCCTCATTTTGAAATTGCTGAACGTGCCTGAAATGGATTGTCATACCTGAAATGGATTGTCAGCTGTTGAGACTGCTCTTAAAAGTTGTTTGTACCTCTCATGTTTCAAATCTCTCGATCTCCCTTCACTCTCAGGTGACTCGGTTATAATGCTCAAGTGCGAAAAGAACACGAACTAACAGCGGGAGCTAACAAATAGGCTTAGAATACAGGTGCAGTGTTGCGCAAAGCTTGGGCATAATAACTTTTTCCATGCGCAAAGGAACATTTACGTCAGTCTGTTGTTTACTCTGTCGGGAATTCGAAGAGATTACAAAAGAACTAAATCCAAAATTTAAAACCAAACTTAATTTGTAGTCTTCCCTGACCTTAGACTATATAAAACAGTAGCAGTCAGTTTTCTGACAATAAAGACGTGTACGTCTCATGTGTCATACAACTGTAGGCCTACCAATACTTGGGGGGAAGGGGTGGGGGACGGGCTAGTTCACGAACTTCGAAGGAAGTTGGCCCCTCGACAATTTATGAAATTTATGTACGACGTACAAAATTTATAATGTGCTCTTGTAACTTGACCAAATTCCACCTTGCAAACAAAGGGTCGGTCGTAAAATACCTTTTATTCAACTTAATACATGCATTTGGAGAACTCAGTGGCTTTTTCCCATCTGAAACTATCCACCATAATTGCACGTTTTCAAAAGAATCATCACTAATATCGAACAAATTTTAACAGTATTGACGTAAACATATGCAAGTACACATTTACAATTTTTTTCCAAAAATGCTCAGGACCGATATGCCACTGCGACCCAAGAGCCATCTGTCGACGACAGCCAAGACGTGGAGCTAATCTCCGGCAGTGAGAACGGCACTTTTACGACTTTACTTTTTAGACGTAAACTGGTCACGTGCGATAGTAAGGACAACGAGATAACAGTGAGTAATAGCAAACATGAATACTTGGCTAGAGAGAGAGAGAGGCTCAGAAAACAAACAAAATCGTACAGAAAATTTGCCAAAACACAAATCAAAGGGGTAATTCTTCTTCGAAAATAAATTGAACTCTGGTGGATATGAAATTTTTATAAGGAGTTGGGTCTGGCATTTTTCTTCTTGTTGAAAACCACTGCGGTTAAATCTATTTTGTTTTGCAACAAGAAGGGCGGACCCCTCACCCTAGTTCTACGTACCTGTGCGAAAAATGGCAGAGTTAGGGAGGGCAAGGGGCGACAAAAATGTTTTTCATTCTTTTCGACATCCGAATTCCGCCAGTGTAAAATATCATATTGCCATCGCCCTTTGACGTATGTTATGTGATTTTTATTTTCATGTTAAGCAAAATACCATGCGCGTCATATGGGCTTACCACGATTCAGACCCAGTGGCTGAGACGAATCTTCTGTATCATGGGAACGTGAACCGTGGAGCGAAGAGCATGTTTCTTCTGGAGCCCGCTGATAACCCAGTTAAAACCGTCACTATACCGAGCGATGCGTATACCATGGAATTTGTACACAATAAGGTAAATCAGTTTTATGAGTAATGGTAGCTCGTGCCTTCAGTTGAAACCATCGTTAACTACCCCCTAGCTGCCGTATCAGACATTTAAGCTGATTCCTTTGATTGTACTTAGAGAGAATCCTCCGCACAGTTGGGTCAATCTGAATAGCACCTATAGATCAACACGATCGAACATTTTTTACAATATGAGGTACTTAACTTCCAGGTCCGTGTACCTTCAACTTCTGACACTACATATTGGTGTTCAGGCTTCACGCTGCCCAGTTTTCCTGAGGTCCATCATATGATAAAGGTACGTAGCCGTTCTTCATGACGGGAAACCTAAAAACATAAAATAATATACCGACGTCGTTTTTTTTTTTGTTTTTTTTTCGGACGTTTAAGTGCATTTCTCTTGTACTGCAGGTCTTTTAATCGATTTGTCTTATGCAAATTATATATGCACTTGTGATTTAACAAAGAAAAATGAGTAAAAAAAAACGATACAAGATGTAACTTATTTAGGCCGGGCTCTAAATGATTTAAAAAAAGTATCGGTACCGCTTGGATTCTTCTAGTATTTTCGTATCAATGGCCCCCTTTGTAGTATAGCAATTACGGCTGTAACATATTATTATGTAGGTATTGTAAGCGTAATTAAAACATAAAAATACATTTGGAGGGGACGTTTAATTACACGTAAGAACTGAGGTACATAATGGTGAAACCAATAGGTGCCGAGACCAAAGCCGACCAATATTTAAAGATAACATTGCTCACGTTCTAGGGAGAGCCAATAGTTCCAGTCGGCCACGAAGCTCTTGTACACCACATCGTAGTGTACGCCTGCAGCCATCAGTTTAACTTCACCCAATACGCCAATTACAGTGAAGCATGTGACCTTCAGGCCAATATGCCTCCAGATCTCAAGTTGTGTGTCCTGCTGTTGATGGCGTGGGCAGTGGGGGGAGAGGTCAGTACCGATATCACCTACATCAGTACCTATATACGGAACGCCTATATCCGTAGCATTGGCAGATTTTGCAATTTTAAAATCATCGTCATTTTTACCTAGAGGCCTCCGCCAAGGATATACAGTGTATTTTCACTTCTATTTGTTTGTTCGTTGCCAGCTTAACTCAAAAAGTTATAGAAATGGTTATTTTGATAAAATTTTAGGAAAGGTCAGCTACAGTCCAACTTTTAAGTGATTAGATCTTGGTGACGATCTATTTATTAATAAATGGTTATAGTTATTGTTAGATAGATAATTATTTTTCTTGATGGAGGCCTGCTCTGAGCGATTTTATAGTTTCATATTAAATTATCTTTCGTTGACAATGCTTCTTGCGCATGCAATGAATAAGGCAATTGCCAAATCAGTCAACTTATCGATTCATTCAACTTATCTGAGATTACAGGCTCAGGTGTATCCAGAAAATGTTGGCTTACCTTTTGGGGGTGAAGGCGATCCCACCTTCCTTTATGTTGAAACTCACTATGACAACCCAGGTCTAAGAAATGGTAAGTTTAGGTTTAACGACACCTCCGACCAGTCTGCGTTTCAAGTTGTTATCAATAAAATTTTGTGATATTCTAATCTGTTTCTGATCTGTTTCACCATTTTATTAACAAAAACAGACGTGAGATGATTCAGTATGTTTACGACCTGTTAATATCTTCTTTATCATAACGTGGGTCATGTATGTGTAACTCACAATTCTAGTCGATTTTTTTTTTTTTATTTTACGTTATTGTACGTGTCTGTCGGGTTTAACCAGCACCATGAACAAATTACTGCAAAACATGTCTAGCTAATATCAGTTTATGGCATGTTAGTTTGGGGACATATTATTGTCCTTGGTTAGGGTTTGTCTTCATTTTGCGTACAATGGTCATCCGGTCCTGCATGTATATTTCACATGAGTATAGTTTTTGAGTCTATCAGTGGATTGAGAACCCAAAAAATGTAAGTCTAGATTTAAAACATCAAGATCAATGATTTTATATCTAATTTTATCTCACTGCATTCAACTTTTTTATTTTCCTTACAGATTATGTTGATTCATCTGGCGTTCGTTTTACCTTTATTCCACGCCGCCGCCAGTATGACGCAGGAGTTTTGGAAATAGGCGCACTAACCTATAAGAATTATGTCATTCCGCCATACTATGACGAGTTTTATACTTGGGGACAGTGCTCCGGTTGCTTACAAAGTGTACGCAGAAGCAGAATTGATTAATGTAGATGTATACTAATGTTTAGCTACATGTACTTACATGTATATTGGGATAGTTTTTCAATATCACCAATAACAGGGAAACAACTTAAGGGATTCATAATCACAACTGAGTAGAATAGCATTCATTTGGTTGAGTAGGAGATGCTAGGTCTATAAGTTAATATATACTTCTCGTAAGAAAGGCAAATGATGGCAAAATGTAGGCACACTTTGCACAACTAAAACTAAATGTCAATCATTGCTTATCAAAACCCACATACATAAGACCACGCTATTTTCTTTATTTCATTTCAATTTCAGGCTTTAGAAAACGTGCCACAAGGTATAAAAGTGTTTAGTACCTTCCTCCACACACATTTGGCGGGAACTGCCATTTACATGCGTCACTTCCGGAACGGAACAGAACTTCCGTACATTGCATACGACGAAAACTACGATTTCAACTTTCAGGAGTACAGATATTTTACTGAACCCGTAACCGTCCTGTCGGTGCGTTTATATATCATATATTTCAACAGATAATTCATGTTTTTAGGTTTATTATCTTACCGTTTAGTGTAAGCTAGGCGGAAAGAAACTCATATCGGCTATGGCCACTTCTTAACCAGAAAATAAGATGAGAGTTTGTATTAAAAAGCAAAACCAACCAATGCTGATGTTGGAGGTGGATTTAGAATAAGATGTCCACGAAAATGCAGGGCAAACTGGGGCCTATAAAACAAACTTTTCAGACTATTCCCCTGTACTGATCTGCTTAGAGATATGTTTTAATTTATGACCTGTTTTTCTGAAATGTGTTTGAGCAAGTGGTAATGACATGTACCGTAAAGTACAGTGTATAGTATGCGTTTTATTTAACATAGAACAATGGGAATATTGCTTATTCCAATTGCATTGTACTCTTAATCTATTTGTTTCAGAGCGATGACTTGGTAGCCTACTGTAGATTCAAGAGCAGCGACAGAACCACTGTAACATGGGTAAGGTCCACAAAAAATGGGACAATAGATTGGCTGTAGAAAAAAAAACCTGAAATGCATTCTGATAATAATTTGACATAATTTGCCAGGATCATCAAAATACATTCACCCATTTGTTGGACATTATAAAAGCCTTCGGGTGGTCATAGGTTTGTTATATATAATTATATAGGTTTGTTATATATAATTATGGGTCTCTGCCTGTATAGAATCACTGCAATATAAGCGGAGACCCACCCGATTCAAAGACTATTCTAACCTACATGTATACCTGTGAAAAAATGTCGTTGAAGAATTATTTCTGCATTGTTTCATTGTGGAAAAACCGCCATTCGATCAGGAAAAGTCCGTTCTAAATTTATTAAATTTGATATACGCTCTGTGATATATCTCTGTTTGGATCAACTTAAGGGGTAAAAAAGAAAAATACACCCCGACTCCCTTTGAAATTGCTGCCTACAGACCTGTATGTGACAGAGATTCTAATTTGGGAAACGTGTATGGCAAGGCTGAAAAGGAAACTCTGTAGCCCACGATACTGGTTTTGCTTAGTTTATTGGGGTTTTAATTGGAATTGGTTATTAATTAATTACCCTAGTCTCACATTTTAGGGTGGATTTAGTACTAATGAGGAAATGTGCATTGGGTTCATGATGTACTACCCACGTGTCAACCTGACGACCTGCGTAAGCGGGTCGCTGCAGTCGGAGCTGATCAAGATAGCCCCACAGGTTACTGCATCGTAAGTGACTTAATTTGTGGTGAAGGTTCACAATAAGCGTGTCATCAGATGGTACTTAATTTATTATTACTCATTGTTTTGACTGTGTCTTACCAATTTCACTCAGCTTTGATTGCTTGCGCTGAAAAATTCTTTTGAATGCCTTTGAATACGTTTACAGGTCCAGAAACTTTGGCTTCACCGTGGTTGTTCAAGAGCCGTCCCAACACAGAGGAAAGAAATTTGAGTATGTCATGGAAAACATGGTGAACTGGCATGACCCTGCAACTCGCCAAGCCTTTCAAGCTCTTGAAATGAATGTCACTCGACAACTGTACTGTACTGGCAATCATGGATTTTCAAAGGTGAGATCGATTGAAGAAGAATTTTATCAGCTGTGTTAGTTATAAGAATGATTTTTTCTTCAGTCAACAGCTAATATTGAGATAGGTTTTACCTCCAATATTTCGATGTCTATCAGGACCTCCTCTTCTTCAGGGAATGAGGCTATCCAGGTGAATAGCCTCAACTCAGGAGATATACTTGCCCCCCCTCCCCCATTGTCTTAGGGGGGAGAGAGACACAGGCGATTGAAAAAGAAAAGGTGAAACGAGCTCTGAGAAATTGCGGATATCCGGAATGGGCATTAAAAGAAGGAGAAAAGATGGGAAAGAAACAAAAACAAAGAAGTGTCCATACCACAGCTCAGAACAGTTACAAAAAAGAGAAAAAAACAAGTCATTGTATTACCTTACACCAGGGGGGTCTCGGAACGCTTACAACGGACATTTAAAAAATACAACATTAACTTGTACAGCAAAGCAGGGTTAACCATCCGGAATGCAGTAGTAAGCCCCAAAGACCCATTAGACAACAATAAAAAGTGTGGAGTTGTCTATGAAATGGAATGTGAGGGTGTGGTGAGAAATATGTAGGTGAAACGGGAAGATCAGAGAGAATAGCTGAACACCAAAAATCGGTCAACAATAGAGACAGCAAGTCAGCATTAAGCCAGCATGAGGAACAATCCGGACATAAAGCATCATATGGTCCTATAATCGACAAAATCAAGGTGATTGACAGTGAACCAAGGGAAAATTACAAAAAAAGTCCTAGAAGCCATCCTAATCAAAAAGACAGGGGCCAGTCTCAACAGAAATGATGGTGCCATCCTCCCTGACCTTTACCCCCCTCCCCTTTCCTAAGACAATAGGAGGGGGGGGGGCAAGTATATCTCCTGAGTAGAGGCTGTTCACCTGGGTAGCCTCATTCCCTGAAGAAGATGTCCTGATAGACATCGAAATATTGGAGGTAAAACCTATCTCAATATTAGCTGTTGACTGAAGAAAAAATCACATCATTCGAGATCGATTGGGTTACGTTTTATCACTGGATATCAAGCAGTGGTATATTTTCAAACATACTGTATATACAGAACATGGACATCGATTCTGGGACCCACTGTTGTAAGCTGGATCTATAAAACTTCGTCAAAACACAGGGTTGATTTCTTTACAAGAACCGTAAATGATAGTATATGACTATGATGATAAATAACATGTGGCATTTAAAATGCGCGATTTCTAGTACATGGTCACGCCCGTAAAAACATAAAAAGCACTGTCGCGTACACGTTCACGCGCGCGCGTGCACACACACGCACACACACACTACGTCATTCTTTGCAACCAGCGATAAAGAACTCAGAGATACAGGTGATATATGAGCGTTAAAAAAATATTTACTTATTTATTCTAGTGGACCCACATCCAAACCCTTCAGATCAGCACACCATACCAGTTACCGAAGGCATCCTGCCCTCCAACCAACTCAACCACTGCGCCAACCACTGCTTCAACCACTGCTTCAACCACTCTGGGGTCTGTGTCGTCTGCCGATGAAACCACATGCGTTACCATGGTGACCATTCTCAATGGCTTGATTGTTCTGCTGCTGTTCATGCAGTGAGGTAGATACACAGAGGAAAACAACAAGTGATGGCAAAATGTTGACAATGTTTCCATTGATCAGTCCCCTAATATTGAACACATTAAATATATAGGAATTCATTATGAATTATAAATGTGGACAATTATTATCACTCCAATGCAAATAACGACACCATCCCTTAACCCATCTCTTATATGCTAGGACGCTACATGTATATACAAAGAAATGTGTTTCTCTTTTTGATATAAGAGTTCTCTGTTTCTTTAGGGTGTTAGCAATGTTATGTCACACTCATACATATATTTATAGCAAAAAATAAAAAAGCACAATTTTAAGACCAGGGAATTTATGTATGTCCCGAGTTATTAGGCTACCAACTTCTTTATTAGAGTTTTAATTAAAAGCAATTGCTGGTGTGCAAACCCAGAAAATTACGGAGAAACATAATACTTCGTCGCACCTCTGCGAGTTAATGTCAACATCTTTATGAGTGCAGTGTAGTGGATTCTCGATTTTTTTATATTCGTATATAATCATTGGCTAAATAAATTTTCATCTTTTTCTATCTTATGTTGTGAGGATCAAACAGCACTTTTTAACTCTGATATTAACCCAATTGAGCACTTGTGAGAATAAGGCGTTGCAGAAGAAAATTAAAAACTATTTGGACCAACTTTGTCAAGCTGGGACAGTTTCTCACAAAACAGAATTCTTGAAAGTATGCCTGCATTAGTAAACGGTCGAAATACGACGATAATGTCGGCTTTCAAACCATTTCGTCAGGTAGGATCCAAATTAAAGGTGCTTTTTTCTGTTTTGTTTTTATGAAATGATGCAATCAAAATAAAACGTGCTCGTCATTTCTTTATTGGCGAAAATTCCTTTCTAACAAGCACCTGATTACAAAATGAAACTGAAGAAATTATACTTTAGACAACATCAGATCAATTTATTGCTATCCAAAGCCTGCATTTAAAGACAAAATTCACATTTCTAAATAATTTGTCATTCTCAGTTAAATGCAATTTATGCATTATAGGGAAGTTTACGCCTCTCGACAAGTACCGGATGGACTTATGAAGGACACAAATCTGTTCAGATCCACTACGCACTTCAATCCCTCGGCACACGGACACGAAAGTCGGCGCTTCGAAGCGACACTGGCAAGACACGACCCACCCGAGGCGGTAAGAGGCGCGCACATTTGAACCATTTCAAAGTCGCTAGAAAATAGATAAGAAATTCGTTTCGGTATGAATCGGCTTAATCTTTATTGACATTTCATTTTAAAATCTTTTCCAGACACTGAAGAGAGTTCGGTGACAAGAGAAAGTAAGAATTGAAATGTTACTGTAAAGTTAAGGGGCCCAAATGGCAAACTGTTGTTGCGAAATACGCTATTAAACATTTTAGTCACGCTTTTAATATTACTACTATACCTAAAAACCCTATGACACCTTCACGTTAACATGCATTAAAGGATTTGTTTTAAAACATCTGACAATTTATAAACGCTTAAAACATGGTGACATTCAGTTACGAAATTCGCTTTAAAATTTGCTTTGATAAAATAGTTCAAGACGTTGACACTTTGCAGTTGTTGTTTTGTAATTAAATTCACCCTTACCCCGAGATGTCTCTCTCTCTCTCTCTCTCTCTCAAACACAAACTCAAACACACACACACACACACACACACACACACCAACACACACACTTACCCAGCTCTTTTCAGTCTACAGCATTGATCAGGTGCGCAATCATCATCGTTTGTACAGGCCTCGCCAAACTCGGCAAATACTGCCTGGAATTGACATTGAGTAAAATATTACTGCTAACTAAATAGCATTCATTGGCTAGGGGCTGGGAGGACCACCAAACAAATGTTGACGGCAAAATAACGGAGCCAGGTGGTTAATGCTTGTTCTGTTGTGCATTGAAAACTAGAAAACAGTCGGTGAACAGGTGGTATGACGTGATAATTTACCGGAAAAAGCTACTGAATCAATTCAAGTTCGTTGGCTTTCATCGACAGGCCTGCTCGGAACGTTTCTAGTTAGATGACTTCAGATGCTTTTCTTTTCATTTTGTTTTGCAACGAGATAACGTTTGCTGTCACCTTTGACGATATACAGCACGATGAGGTCCACGGCTGTTCACACCTGGGCGGTTTTAGTATTGAGCAGTCTTTACTCTTTCAAATGTCGACTGCGGACTTGCCCCGGGTACTGTATAAAAATTTGAACAGTCTTCAGAAGCGAAGGTGCAAGGAAGGAAAGGAGGGTCACGAAAAGACAAATTGTGTGCTTGTCAAAAGCAATAGAGGCGAAGCGACTTTTGTTAAACAATACAGATTTTCTCTCTGATAATCCTACCGAGATGATAGCACATTTTGATGAAATGCAGTACAGTTAGGTTTTGCTCAATTTAAGTACAAGATCTGTGGCACCAATCTAAGTACTTTTAACTGAAGAGAAAGGAAATGTTATTGACGACGCAGACTTTATTCTAATGAGCAGCAATATGTTCGTTTTAAATCGATCACTTAATGTAAACTTTCTAAAGTATACCGTGTTTTTATGCAAAAGGTAATTTGCTAGGACCCACGAGAGCCCAGATTCGTTCTCGTGACATCCCGTTTCAGGGGCCCGGTCGTTGTCGTGATGGACTGACGTGCCTCATCCGGGATTCGAACTCGTGACTTTGAGTTGCCATGGTTGATGGCGCTTTGGGTAATTCATTTGCATCCAAGCACGCTACCGACTGCTCCGTGACAGACCCACCCACCTTCCCTACGTACGAGTTTCCTCTTATAGTAACCAATCGGAATTTTTAAGATTTAATTCTGGAAAAAAAAGAAGTCCTACATCTGCTGGGTCTCGAACCAGCATGCCAGTGTTTGTCTCTTCAGGAGACGGCAAAGTTACCACGGAGCCACGTCAGCTTCGATAATACGCCAAGATCGGATGGAAACTTTCAACCTTGCCACGGACAGGACCAGGTTGGATGTACATGTGTATATCTGCTTTCCCGATTCTGGGAGTTTGTTTTATACTGAGATTAATTTTGGCTTTACCCATGATATTAAAGTTGCAAAAGGTTGGATGTACATGTGTATATCTGCTTTCCCGATTCTGGGAGTTTGTTTTATACTGAGATTAATTTTGGCTTTACCCATGATATTAAAGAGGCGTGTCTAGTTTTAGCGAGACCCTAAGAAGAGAGGAAAAAAACATTCAAATGTGTACTAACTGGTGCGATTTCCATATAAGCAATTGCAGCGATGGAAATTTTGAATAAAACATATTTTGCAAATAATTCCACCGAGTAGATATCATTTTTTTCTGCTGAACACGGTTAACAGGTGGTATGACGTGCTGATTTACCGGAAAAAGCTACTGAATCAATTCAAGTTCGTTGGCTTTCATCGACAGGCCTGCTTGGAACGTTTCTATTTAGATGACTTCAGATGCTTTTATTTTCATTTTGTTTTGCAACGAGATAACGTTGTACAGGAAGCCATGCGTGTTTGAGAACCCGACACTGAACTGGGAGTTTGTTTTATACTAAGATTAATTTTGGCTTTACCCATGATATTAAAGAGGCGTGTTTTAGTTTTAGCGAGACCCTAAGAAGAGAGGGAAAAAATATTCAAATGTGCACTAACTGGTGCGATTTCCATATAACAATTGCAGCGATGGAAATTTTGAATAAAACAATAATTCCCAATAATTGCAAATAATTCCACCGAGAAGATATCATTTTTTCCGTTGAACACGGACACACATAGGGCGCAGACCACCGCCTAGACAGCATAATTCACATAATTATCAATTAACTTGTTTATAAATAGAGGGATCGCCCCAAAATCTAAAAAATGTATCGCTTGCTCCACTCCTGACAGTTTCTGAAAATTTCATCGAAACCCGTTCGCAACTTTTTACATAATGTGCATTTTTTTCTTCAGCATGCGACCGTAATGTAGCAAGAAGGGTAACTACAATTTTTTCAAAGGGTAAAATACAGTAAACAGTAAAATAAATAATTGTCAACTGTTTTGTAATCTCTAGAGAGTACTTTGATTCTACACGCGACAGTGACAGCATGAAATTCTGCAAAAAAAAAAAAAAAAAGATGATACTGTACTTGCCTGAACCAAGAAAAGGGTCCCCATACCGAATAAAAGCTTCATCTTGATCAGTGTTTTTAGTCTTTAGAATTTTAGTCAATGTATGCTGCATCTGCTATCTGCTAGCTCTGTGAGAGTCCGGTTCTATAAATGTCGCCCGCCGTGGCGTTTTTATATATATAAATTTAAGGGCGACATATATATACGGGTACAGCCGCGATTAAGTGAACAATGCACCCTTAGTTTGGGTACCCTCTACCAGATTGAGGATTGAGAGCCTCAGATTGATTTTTCACTAGGTGTTCACAGATATGTGTCTTTGGATATTACTATGAACTTTTCTGTAGGCCTACAGTCCAGCAAAAAAGTTTGTATGGAATTATCATCACTAAGACGGCCTCTAGGATAAAGTAGAGCAGCGTTCTTGCATCCTATAGTGCCTATATAGAGTACACACGCCAAGTCATTTGCAGCACTCTGAAACTCGGGGTAGGATGATTTTGGCGCCATTTTAAGGCGTACTAGAAAAATTATGGTCTCCATTAGTATGTAACCAGTGTGTTTGACCCATACCCACTTGAGTTTGCGTAACATCCAGACAAATAAACAAGAAACCCGTAGACAAGAAATCAATGGCTGATTTGTTAAATGTGAGATAAAAGACGTTTATATATTTAAGTCTTCATATAGGGGGCCTTACTCTAAATGAATGATTGGAGTCAGACGTACGTGTTTATTCTGCTATGAGGGTGCGACATAAAGGTTATGTAAAAAAACCATGCACTGCCAATACGATGGTAAAGGATCACATGACCTATGAGAGCGCATACAGAACAGCGGGCAAACAGATCCGCGGATCAAATATGGCGACCAACTAAAACGTTTGCCGCTTAATTCCCGATTAGACACTGAATACATTCCCAGCGGAGATTACGCAACAAGCATTCAAGTGGGTCGGCCATTCTTTTCTTTTTGCTTTAAAGTCTGGGATCTTCGCGGCGGAATTATTTGCCAAATATATTTTTTCTCAAAATTGGCTTAGTCGCAATTGCTTGAATGGAAAGCGCATCAGCTTATACATATTTAAAGTTTTTTTAACGATTCCCTCCTCTAATGGGGTTGCTAAAACTAAAACCGCCCCATTGTGCTTTTCATTAGTCTTGGTGAAGCCAAACTAAATCTCAGCATAAAACATAAAATAAAAAAGCAATCTATCTTGGACCGCAACGATCCGTGTCGGCTTCTCAAATATGTGCTCGTATACATGATGAACTCTAACAACGTCGATGATTATACCATGTTCGCAGACTGGCGATGTACAGGATGAAATACATATATACGGCTCACGACCTATTGATTGTTATGGCAGACATATACATGTACAGCCAATCTGGCTCTCTCTGTGAGAAAGTGGAAAGTTACCATTTGATCCGTACCTTACCAAAGGAGCTTCATTGGCTCCGTGGTAACTCCGCCGATTTGGACACAGCTAGACACTTCCACACGGGTTCGAATCCTAGGACTTTCTATGTAATTCTTTTTTAGCTGGCATTAATTTCAAGAAATTCCGTTTGATTACTATAAGAGGAAACTCGAACGCACGGAGGGTAGGCGGGTCAGTCACGTCACAGTCGGTAGCGTGCTTGGACGCAAAAAAAAAAAAAAAAGAACAAGCCATCAGCAAACCATGGTTACCTCGAGTCATGAGTTCAAATCCCAGATGGCGCATGTCAGCTCACCCCAACTACGAGCTGTCCCCGCAAGCGAAAACGAATGCATGCTCTCGTGTGTCCGAGCAAATTACCTTTTGCATAAAATTACGGTATTACTTTAGAATTTGTGATCGATTTTGACAAGAACTTATTGCTCGTCACTATCATAAAGTCTGCGTCGTCAATTATATTTCTTTTCTCTTTGCTTTAAAGACTTTAAAACGATACTTAGGCGGGATGGTCCTTGATCTCTGTCCTTTACCAACTACGCAACAAATCAAAATTGAATCAAGTCGGTACGTTATCCGGCATGGCGTCATGCATATCATACAGCCCGTTCATAAAAAAAGCTGTCTGCTCGTTGGGACTATCAGCCAGAAAAGTTTTTTGGAAGAGTCACATTGCCGCTATTGCTTTACCTAATCTTACATTTTGTTTTTATGCCCCCCTCCCCCCCCCTTCCATCCCGGCTTTGCTTATCAAGACTGTACTTATAATCATACAGCACCCGGGGCTACTCCACACTGGACGTTTGAAATGGCAGACTACTCACAGCTAAAACCGACAATTTGTGAACCGCTCTGGCTCCCATCGTGCTCTTTATCTTCACATGTGAAGTCAAACATAAACTCAGTGTAAAACAAAATGAAAATAGCAGCATCTGAAATCGTCTAACTAGGAACGTTCCAGGCAGGCTTATTAAGAAAAAGCGACGTAACTTTCCCGCCATAAGACCACGTTATTCAGTGGGGGAATGAGGTGTTGTGAAGAAAAGATCACACTAATTCCCTTCCCTTGAAATTAGAAATTTTGCTAGCTGAATCATAGTTCTAAACCGTGTCAAGTGGTACCGTTCGCCCTGCCCCGGACCCCACGCGACCCTTTCAAAGCCCCCCCCCCCCCTTTCAAAAATCCTGGATCCGCCCCTGTTATAGTCGAGGTTAATTGAGGTGTAAACAAGAAGGGCTTGTTACAGGACAGCTTGGTCCCACTGCTTGTTTGTTTATACATAACCAGGATATAAACTAAAGCAGGCTTGTCTATATTTGACCAGGATTTTGTTTTCAGTTTATTTGATTACCGGAAAAAAGTGGTAACTGCCAATAACGCCAACTCAAAATGTTGGTTAAAGGTTTATATACCGGACGGTAATTTATCATGATTATAATTTTTAAGTTATCCATATGATTCTATTCTGAATCTAAGACTGGGTTCCCGTGCCTAGACCGATCCATCTGGATCAGTCTAACTCCCTGGGGAGTCTCACTAATTTGCTATCAACAAACCTGCTTAATTGCCTGTCATGCTTACCGAATCAGCTAGGAGGTAAACATAATTACCCCGTAACAGCTTTACAAGACGTGACAGACATTAAAGCCGGTTAAATTGATAACAATTTAGTGAGACTCTCCAGGGAGATAGATCGATCCAAATATCTGTGGGAATGGTCCCTTACACGTGCAATAGAAGTAACAACCGCAAGCAGTAGTGCTAGACACAGGAAACTCGAACTTAATGGGGGGGGGGGTGCAACATTGCCCACTTCTGAATTGTTAATTTTAACGCAAGTTTTCACTGAAATTTATGACTAATAATCCGCAAAATAAGACTGGGTTCCCATCCCTAGTTCGATCCATCTGGATCAGTCTAACTCCCTAAGGAGTCTCACCAAATTGCTATCAACTCATCCGGCTTAAATGTCTGTCACGCCTACCGAATCAGCTAGGGGGTAAAGATAATTACCCCCTAACAGCTTTACTAGGCGTGACAGACATTTAAGCCGGTTAGGTTGTTAGCAATTAGTGAGACTTCTTCCCAGGGCGATAGATCGATCCAAATATCTGTGTGAATGGACCCTAAATTGTATAAAAAAGTGAAAATTTGCAGTTGCAATTCTTAAATGATCTTTTCAAGACACTGAAGAAATGCAAAATATGACCACATAACAATTTTCATTTATCGCCTTTCTGACACGTCGATGTTGATTTTTAATTTGAAAGCCTATTCATTATCTAGGCTAGAACTTGCAAAACATTGAGAAGTCCATCTATAGAAAATCTGAATTTGCTTTATTTCAATCATAACATACAGAGTTAAATTACGGCTTACAATTATTATATCAGAAATACAATCATCCTTCAGTCAATGCAGGTAGTCCTATTCCATTAATAGTAATCTATCAGATTTGAAGAGATGCCATATACTGAAATTGTTCTTGTCTTTCTGTTCTCTTTTCATAATCAAAATATGTGACAAGGGGAACAATTATAGGGATCGTCAGAGGATTTACCGCGTGAAAACACACGGCAGTCCTGCTCAAAATTGTGACAAAAAAAAAGGGATGACATAAAATGGCCACTGTCAATTACTTCTTATTCAAATATATATATGGTTGTAGTTATCTTCTTATATATATATATATAAACTATATAAAAAGAACTATATATATTAATCTAAACCTTGGAAATTTTAACTTAAAGGCCATTCATTTATACCCTACATATATTTAGCCATCAAACATGTCCTACTGCTAAACACAGCCAGGCTAATTTCCCGCTAGGTGGGGTTGATATAACATTGTTTTCTGACGTTGATACAACGTTGTTATCTGAGGTTGACACAACTTTCAAATCCAACGTTTATCCAATGTCTTCTCAACGTTATGGTTCAACGTTGTTTTAACGATAAAACAACATAATTTGCCCGCTGGAATACCGCTATTACTGACCGGTGTTTAAGATGGTGTACCAGTATTAGTGTTTTTTATACGCTGTCCATTCTCTATTACTTATAATCCCCTCTTCGGCATCGGGTCTAAAGTTCAATTCATAGCCGGAGTGCTCGGACACCAGCGAACGTCTTTTTGACAAATCTGGCATTGCGTAAAACAATTTCTTCCAAAACCATTTGCTGCTCACCTCCAAGTAAGTACTGGTGTTCAGGTAAGCCAACAGTTCTTCATCCAGCTGGTCTTTGTTTACATCGTCAAACAAAATTATGATTAGATATTTACTTCTTTCTTTTAACACTTTCTGGTGAGCAGTCCTAAATTCCATCATGCACCATTCGCTGTCCACGTAGTTCTGAGACAGTACCATGATCATTCTTTTGCTTTGTTGAACACTGTTCATAATGTTGTCGAAGATCGTTTCTCCCACGATGAAGTCTCTGTCGTGCACGCATAACCGATAGGGTGGAACATGGTTCTCCATCGTATGGCGAAGGTTGTGCACCACCCACTTATAATCCTGGCTGCTGTAAGACACGAACGCATCGAAGATCTTCTCCGGGCCATCGTCATCCACGCGGTCAAACGGGTGCCAGTTAAATTTGTTGTAAACCAACACTTTGATCTCTATGCTGAACCGATATACTATCAAATTCACAGCTAATATTACCAGCACCACTGCAAGACATATTGCGATAGGTACGATCAATTGGCTCTTTGTCCCGGCGTCATCAGGGTCGCAAGTGAAGCTAGAATCTGGAACGTCAATGATCCTCTGGCCGTTTTGCTTCCCGACTGCGCATGTCAGTTCTGTAAACCTTGGGATATTTTTGCCATTTTCGTTAAGCCATCTCTTTAACCACGTACTCTTACAATCGCACGACAGATAGTTTTTATCCAGTTTGATTTCAGAAATATTGACACTTGTTATCTCCTTTGGCAAATGCGTCAAATGGTTTCCATCCAGGTGAAGCGTACGAAGTTCTGCAAAAAGGCCAAACACCGCTGGGTCTATTGTTTGTATCGCATTGTTGCTCAAGATAAGTTTGGTTGCATTCGCCAGATACGGACGCGGTTCAAGTACCTCTATCAAATTCCCCGCCATTTCAAGTTGAAGTCTTCCCTTTGGCGCAAAGTCTGGGAGCGCGGTTAGGCTTCTGTTCGAGCAGTCGACGAGAAGGTCTCGACTGATTGTCTGTCTGTAGCAATCGCATGACGGCGGACACAAGGGTACCTTCACCTTACAGTTAAATTTAGCTGGAGTCATATCTATTAACGTGGTTCGTCGGACGTCTGTCGGGGTTTCACACGACAAAGTGCTCAGTGTGTCCTCATTGAGAGTATCCATTTCCTGGCGTATTACCCGCAAAAACGTTATATAGTTCGTAAATGTTGCAATCGCAGTGTAGATTATTGTGGGACATATCCAATTTAAAGCACTTAAAAAGATACGCCAACGCTTTTTTACTTCTATTGTTCCAATTCAGGCTGTACGGTAATGAAGATATATCGTTATATCGAAGGTCAAAGCGTTTAGATGATGATGCACATTTCGGGGTCTCAGACGTGATTCCAAGCATTCTCCCTAGATCATCAAAGAAACGAGAAGAATCATTAAAATTTATCACATTACGAGTCATATTGACTAATTCAATATTATTATTGTCAAAAAGGAACTCTGGGATGTTGTGAAGAAGGTTGTTTTGTAGGTACAATTCCTCGAGATTAAGCGATGCTGTTGGCATGGCGCCATGCTCTATGACGTGTATTTTGTTGTGATCCAAATGTAAAAATTGGAGCCGCCTGAGACCACTGAATGTTCCTGATCTGATCTGAACCAGATTGTTTTTATTTAACTTCAGTACTATTAAACTAGTAAGCGTTTCAAAGTTTTCATGACTGACGCTAGAGATGTTATTGCCATGTAAGTCAAGAACACGGAGGGCCACTTGTGATTTCAGTAAATTCGGAGGCAAATGGCTCAACTGGTTACCACTCAGGTCAAGATATTGCAAGTCGTGTAATTCAGAAAAGACGCCACCTCCTATCTCCTCAATACCGTCGTCGTTTAGTTCCAAGCGGAGCAAGCTGCCCCGAAACTTGAAATCAGTCAGTTGTGGAAGCCGGTTTCGTGCGATTGACAGTTTTCTAAGATATATGTTCGTCGGGAAGTCTAAATGTTTATGTTCGTGGCCCTGAAGAAATGTTGCCCTGGATAGGTTACGAGGCAAAGTTAATGTTTCGTTGTCCCATGGGAAGACAGGGGGAACACTGAAATGAGCATTTCTGATTGTCAGAGACTGCAATTTCGGCAGGCGGACGTCTAAACCAGCGGGTAAGCGGGAGGCATCAATATTATTCATATAAAGCTCTGCCAGCCGTGGCCACGTGTACGTTGTGAGTATTTTGGGAAGAGGGCAGGTGGCGCCATCTCGAATTTCCAGTGATAGCGAGCTGAGGTTACTCAAACCATCATATGTTGTGTCGTTGTAAAAAGCAGACTCCCCCAATTCCGTCTCGCTCAGAGCGTCGACGGTGAGCACCTGGAGATCTCCCGCCTTCCCCAGCCGTGACAAGCTACGCCATGACATGTGGCAAGATGAAAGCAGCACGTACAATAACAGGTTCTCGTTGAAGGAAACTGGATGCTGCTCTTCGACCAACACGAGGGTAGGACGACGACACTGCAGCCTCAGAACAATAAGCGATTTCTCTGTAATGAATTCCAAAGAACTGAAAATACGACTGGAGTTCAATCTGCATCCGCTCGACGCTGCTGACATTATGGTACAGATGTGATCCCATGTCGACACTGGTGAACTGTCTGCATTTACAAAGTAGGAATTACTGTTTTTAGATGGAGTCCTGCAGTGAATGAAACACTGTCTCAATGCGCTGCAATCTGGTGGCACAATTGCCAGAATCAAGATCAAAAGCACAACAACTGCACTTGCCATCTGGGTTGCTCTGTTGTGTACACGTTGGGTACTACCAGGCTGTACCTTGGCAACTGGAATCCTGGGAACGGCTGTCAGCGAGACCTTGGTGAATCTAAAATAATAGAATTGTGCATTAAGCTATTAAGAATGACGCCACAGGAAGGTTCATTTGACATGGAAATAACTGTGACAATTTGTATGGCAAGATGTTATTACGAACGACCCTCTAGCGCGGCAAATTTGTGTCGTGCTAAAACCTCCCGTAGTCACTCAGTCCTGGTTTCAGATTATCCTTTAAGTCATGTAAAAGTAATATTATTTTCAGAGACGAAACGTATACTATAATTTAAAAATCAAAATATAGTGGCCAGATGGTGGAGGTTTAAAAAAACTTCTCTGTGGTTCGAAAATCAGCACTTGGTGACCGTTTGTGGTTTTGAAAGTTTATTTATCAAAATATACCAGATTTTGGAGTAGAATACGTCTGGAGATTTGCCAAAAAGATACCTTAAAATGTATTTAAAAAACTTTTCTCATGGTTATCCAGAGTACGCATGCCAAGGTGTTAAGATTGATAAGCGCATGTAGTTGGTTTGCAATATATTCCCCGATAGGGATGGGAAAAATGGGAAAAAGAAGAAAAGGTGCATAATGTAATCCACACAACTCGTGTCCAGGCCGCTTTGATTGTCGGCTTTTTTATTTCTAGTGTCTCAGCTTTTGTTTAATTATAAAAGCCAATTGTTTTAACCATTGATCCATCCAATTTTCATTAGTAACTTGTGAGGCGATTTTCTTATTTAAAAAATACCGTTCAGAATATAACAGAAGGTTATGTACAAAGACGAATAGCCAATTTTAATTAAAAAACGCCGTAGGAGGTAGGTGATTGCAACTTTGCTTTGCTGTCAAGTGCATTTACTTTATCAGGCTCTAATCAAGTATATTCACCTTATCAGGCTCTAATCAAGTACATTCACGTTATCAGGCTCTAATATTTTGATATTTCTTAAAACATGATGCAACCAATATAATTCCAAATCAGGCTGTTTAATTGTCACTCTTAAAGCTAAAAACTTATCAATACTGCATTTATTATTCTAAACAAATTGTAATTCAAAAATGACATAGCCATACTCGGTACATACATACACTTATTTCTTAGTCAGAGAACATTCGAGCATTACATGGGCCTCTGTTTGCACCGATATCCCGCAAACATTAATTAAGCCTTTACCCCCTGTAGTAATACATGTACACCAGTAGGTGACCTACCAGACCGACTTTTATCGGGTTTTCCCTTTTCCCCAGGAAAATTATGGTGTGACATGAATGGTAAAGCAATAACAGATAAATAATAAGTGATTTATATAAAAATTGACCAGGTCCTAAAAACGATAAAAAGTTCTGGCCAAGCGTTCGTTAGACGCCAGCTGGATTTTCAGCGCTAAACAATACTTAGCTACTTCCAGCCCCACCCCATGAGACATGAGCGGTGATATTTATGTACACTGTGTCTATAATCTGTGATAAATCCGATTTATCAACAAATATGGTGTAATGCAACTTGGCGAAACCATGGAATTCGAAGTTTATATAGATAGAATTCCACGGTGAAACTGTGCGCCGCTGGCAGGGCGAGTCAAGAAAGAAACTCTACATGTAACCTAAGCACGATGTGTGTCAATTTGATGTATGCTGTAAACTGGTTATTTCCCTATTGCTAACATTTTGTTAGAGCTTTATTAACATATATTCAGGTCATATTCACTTGGCTCGACCAACTAGAGTATAATTATGAATTTATTTTTGTTACACTGATTGTAGGCCTATATATATTGTGTATATTCTGAGCTTGTAAAAATACTCTGTACTTGCTGCTCACGTTGGAATAAATTATCTATCTATCTACCTAACTTATTACTTACCCCTCAAAACCTGCTACACTTACAAAGATCTGCTCTGCTGTTTTTAACCAAATGTCAGCCGGCTGCGAAGCTAGTTAACAGTTATCGCCTTATAACACGGCATTGCCTTTTGAGCGAGGAATGACGATCTATACCTCATATACCACACGTGTGTTTTCCCAATGTTTTGACCCACTTTTATTCCAAGTTCCGGCTTCCTTTATCCTGTAATAACAAGACGGCTGACATGAGGCCAAAGGTCGACAGAAATTAACTTGGCACATTCCTGCTGTATTACACATTGCAGTCATTATGGCTTACCAAGGAGTTTCAACAGAGAGTTGAAACTCCTTGGGCTTACGAGTAACAAACTGAATACACATGTAGGCAAGAAATTGAATATAAAAATTGATTTACACTCCATCAAACAATTATTCCAATCAATCTAAAACTGAGGTAAGACTTTCTCTAAATTACTAAATCTCTACTTCAGTCAGTGAATCAAATTTTTAATTTAAATTTAACAAAACATCCATATTCTCCAAACTTCCCTGTCGGCATAAATATTATGTAAGATTTTGTGCTGGTGGAACTGACTTCAGCAAATATGAATCTGAAGTAAACAGATCATTAGCAAAAATACAAGCAGGCAATTTTCAACATAAATGGAACAGAGAAATGCAGAGGAGCTTTCGAAACACCCACCCCAATCGCTCTAACAGTGCATTTCGATGAAGCAACAAAATGTGGAAAAAGAACGTGACATAAATGTGTTATGCTTTACGCAGTTTTGGCACGAGTTGGACATATCTTGATCATGCAGGCATGTTCTAAGAACTGCCACAACCAAAACTGTTTAAATTTGCCCCTGCACTTTCCTTTCACAAAACATCCTTTTCCGTTAAGGTCCGGGTTGAAACGTGTCACCACATCACTCATGCATGACTTAGCTTACAAACAACCTGCATAATAAGGAAGCTGTGGAAGTACTTATTTAATGTTGTGTTAAAAAGGAAGCAAAACAAGCGTATAGTCAAACCTGAACCGCGTTTTCTCAAGGGCATCTTCAGTATCATGTTATCAAGTACTGTAATTTTTACTGTTCGTTTACCGACTTTGTATAGACTTGACTTCACTTCTTTGTCTTATTTTTGAAAAGTAGTACATAACAGAACATATGTCATAGCAAGGTTTCACAAAATCTCAAGTATATAGTATAAAGCATTTTACTTAATTTTATTCAAAATAGGAAAAAATGCCAATTCTTAACAAGATTTAGTACCAGTAGTCTCAATTGCACATTGAAACAGGTCGCCATATCATGTCAAGGGCAAACCAACATCAGTTGAAAAACGAACACGTCAATATTGCCACCTTGCCCATTGCACACTGCAAGCAGAAAGCGGAGAAGGGACCCTTCAAACCCATAAAACGGAAACTTTTGTTTTACCGATAGCTAGCCAATGAGCAGCAACAAATTCTCATTCGCGATTAACAACTCAGATGAGACAGTGGTTATTTCTTTGGCTAAACCCCTCAGCTTTTGAATTAAGAAAAGACTAGAAAAGCACTCCGAGAGCGCAGACCACCGCCAAGGCAGCAAAGTCTCCACCCAATGCCGTTTCACTCCTAAATTTCCATTCTATAATGATTGATTTTTTTTATTAATGATTATTGATTGATTATTGATCCGTATCACCACCAAAAATTAATCATCTGTTCCTTGGCCCACTTCTGACTGTTCCTAAAAATTTCATCAAAATCGGTCCATAACTTAGTTTTTTATTTTTGATTATTGATTATTGATTGATGTTTGATCCAGATCACCACCAAAAATTAATCACTCTAAGTTAACCCATTTCTGATCTACCCTGAAAATTCCATCGAAATTCATCCATAACTTTTTGAGTTATGTTGATAACAAACAGACAAACAAACAGGGGTGAAAACATACAACCTCCTTGGCGGCGGTAAAAATGTACTGCACCCCACCTAAAAGAATTTAGGAATTATTTCTCTCACTAATAAGGTCTATTCCAATACAATAGAAGGCGGATAATGTGCAGATATGTGTAAATCGTAGTCTTAGTCCAGGGCGTGTATAATTATTATTTATTTCTGTGCATTTTATCAGCTCAGTTTGGCAAAAAAGTAAGTGGGCCCAATAAAGCTTAATGCAAGATACTCTTTCTGTGACTTTCAAACTAAGTCTTAATTTTCAGTGAATCATTTTTCCGGCCGCAAGCCAATATCCTGGTATGACCCGTATATTTCATTTCAAAAGCGTATTTTAGTGAAAAATGTATCTTAGACGTCTCTATTATATCAAGGAGTTACAATAGTAACTCCTTGATTATATTAACTTTCTATCCTGTTAAAATACTTGGAAACTGTTTGTAACGTGCTGCCGTTGATCTTGGGAAAACGCTTCACAAAAGTTCTGAGTAAAATTTTCAGACTTAACATGTAATAGGATAGAACGGGGGCAATATTAGGGGCCTATACATCAGGCCCGTAGCCAGCAATTTCAGAGGGGGGGGTCCTTTTCTGAAAAAGTGGACCTTTTACCATAAAATTCTCAAGTACATAGATCAAATTTTACCCAGAGTGGACCTTTTCCCCAGCAAAGAGGGTGGTTCTTTCGAACCTCGGGACCCCCCCCCCCCGGCTACGGGCCTGTACATAATATCATATTCGAATTCCCTATACGTGATAAGACTTCAGCAGGTTGCTTACGCAGTAAAAACCTAGGATCCGTCAATTTTTATTCTTCTTTGACAAAAATAGGCGCCAACCATTCAATTAACAGATGTTAATGCGTCACAGTTCTATGAGTGTTGGCCCTATACCTATATATAGTAAGATACGTGTATTATCGTTAACGGAATGAAAAACCAATCCATTAGCTAAAAATACATTCATTTATTTTTGTAAAATTTCCTTATGTTTTTCTGAAACAATTCATACACTTGCCTCAGAACAATTTCCTTATACAGCGTTTTTCCTCATGAGACCGTATTTTCGACCCCCCCCCCTCCATTAAAAATACTTAGAATTTGTGTATTTTCATATTTAAATGGGCCAAGTGGGCCTTCAAATCCTGTAGCCAAGATACAGTCTAGCTGTGAGGGGCACGTTGATGACGTGCCGCCGTCGGTCTTAGGGAAACGTTTCACAAACGCTCTAAGTAAATTTTTTGACTTTAAATGTATTATGATAGAGCGGGGGCAATAGTATACATTGTATCATATTTGAATTCGATTCCCTCTACGAGATATATACTACAGCAGGCTGCTCAAACGCAGTAAAAACCTATAGGACCCGTAAAACAAGGTTCGTGGACCCCTCTAGTACCCCTGAAGGTACACTTAGATTAAACCAAAGTCCTACCAAACATGTATAAACTGACCGTTCACAGATCTAGAATAGCTTCATGTTTTCTGTGTGAATTAAACTACGTACAATTGTATAAGTTAATTTAATGTAAGGGTAATATAAATAATCTTTAATGCACTCGAATTATAGAATTTTTATTCTTATTTGACAAAAATAGTCCTGCACCTTGACTCAAAACATTCAATTAACAGCTCTTAAATGCGTCACAGTTCTGAGTGTTGGCCCTATACCTATATATAGTACGATACGTGTATTATCATTAACGGACTGAAAAACCAATCCATTACCTAAAAATACATTTATTAATTTTTGTAAATTTTTCTCATGTTTTTCTCAAGGCAAATTATACCTTTCACCCAATTTCCTTATGCAGCGTTTTTCCCTGTATTTTCGAGCTCCCCCCCCCCCCCACCTCTTTTATAAACTTTTCATCACACCCTAGGTGACCCCTACAGTCGACTCGACAACCAAAATAGGCAAGAAAACCCATCCACAATCATATAAACATTTGTTTATGGATCTGTTGGTGCATTTTTTCTTTTGAAGTTTTGTACGTTTTGTATCCCAGAACTTACCAACCTTGGATTGTGGACCATGTTGTTTGCTCTGCCATCTATAGCCGTCTATACACACTACACTTCATAACATTCATGTGATATTCTACAAGTAAACACACAAGCATGGGCATTGCGGAGAGTAAAAGCGAAGAGCTGAAAGTCTCTCTCAATCTTTTTACAGCTTATGAGAAAGAGCAAATCAAGAAGATATTCGCTGAGATATCAGGAGGAACAGAACACTTTAATGAACAGCAACTAAAGGTACTGTATAAGATATGTGTAGGGCCAGGTGTAACGAAACTGCATGAGGGTCCGTGTTATAGAAGGTCCACCTTCCATTTAGTTATAATGGTTAGGGTTGGCCTGTCCTTAGTGGGTCAAAATATAGGGCGAGGCTCACCTGTACAAATGAAAGGGGAGCAGACTCTTTTTCTTGGGGAACTCTCTGTCACATCATACCAGTCGAGGGTGGGGGGCAAAATAAATAAATTTTATTATCTTGACTTTTATATTATTTAGAATTTATTATGGAATATGTAGCTTTAAGAAGTTAAGTAAGGAAAACCCATGCCCTTATTGTGTCTTGTAAGGTTGTTATTGGCATAAATTTTATCCATAACTTCTATTAGTAATTTCATTATGATAAATATATTTAAAAAAGTGTATTCTCCATGCTCTTGTCTTCTGCATTGCACCACCAAAAGATCCTATTATTTAAATTAAATGGAAGTAGCCATCAAAATAAAGATTATATTTATATCGCATTGAATGCCATGTGAAAGGACTGATCTGCATAATGATAACTTAAATTCGCAATTTCAGAAATATCTAAGCAGGTACCTACCAGATATTCTGATCACTCGACTGTACAAAGCAATCTCTGAGCTCCGACATCATAAGCATGCAAAACATGACCACATATCCCATGATACATTTGTTGTGGCAATGGCACACTTACTGAAGAGCACTATTACCCAGAGGAGCCGTATCGTTCATTGTTTGGCATCTGATGAGGCAGGAGACATGACAGCACAGCAGCTGGTCAGTGTAAGTTGCCATACAAACATACAGTACTTAGTAAGTTAATTTAAAATGCAGCAGGCTGTAGCCAGCATTTTTCGAGGGGGGGGGGGGCGTTTTCTGAAAAAGTGGACTTTTACCATAAAATCCTCAAGTACATAGATCGAATTGTACCCAGAGTGGACCTTTTCCCAGCAAAAAGGGCGGTTCTTCCTGAACCCCCCCCCCCCAGCCACGGGCCTGTGCAGCCTATGTCTTTAACATTTTAACCCATGGTTTACTTCGACTAGTTGACATCAAAAAAGTCCTGAGAAAAGTCCTAGTCTTAATTAAGCTAAATTAAGCTGTCCAAAGATGAAATTTTAAAAAAGTGAATAAGTAAATAAGAATTAAAATAATTATAATGATAAAAGTAATTATAAATAAATAGGTAAATAATTAAATTAATAAATTAATAAATAGGCAATTGGATAAATATATAAGTAAATAGAAAACTCAATAAAATTTTCACTGCTTCAAGTATAAATGGTTTATTGTGAAACTTGTAACTGTAGTTCAACCTGATGCTGGTGGAGGCATATATGAAGATTGCTGAGGAAAGCCCTCAGTGTAAAACCTGGAAGATCTCTACTTCAGAGGAAGCTAATCTCAAGCTGGCCAAGGCTCTTCTCAGGTCAACATTTAATAAAGGTAAGTTTAGTCAGTGCGCATAGCATACTGTGTTGCCTTGTCTTATGTATTGTGACATTGAGAACTGTCACACACACACACACACACACACACACACACACACACACACACACATTTAAGTAGAATGCTTATCAAACTTTCTGCATGAAGTCATGCAATTTTTTGGTAACACCTCTAAACACATACACACAGATACTCATATGTCAAGCTAGTTGATAGTACTTGCATCAACAGTGTACACATACAAATATATGTCTTCAGAAAATACCACTGAAATCATCTTTTTCATCTTTTCTTCTTCTCAACTTTTAACCCGTTTTTCTTAACACATCTGTTGCCCCATCAGAGCTGGAGGCCAAGCCAGTTGTTCAGACATTTGAAAGTGCAGCCACAGGTTTGTGAGATGCTATCATGATATCATTCACTTCCAATGAATCTTTTGGATGCAAATAATAATACTGCATAATGTTATGTACTGACACTTCACTTTGTGTTGTCTTGTATGCAGAGACCCCTATTGCAAGTAGTGATGAAGGTAGTACAAAGCTTTTTGTCCTACTGCTTGCTTGCTTTAAACTTTGCCATGTTCAAGTGGGTTATACTTGACAGGTTCATTTCTGAACTTGGTAACACACACACACACATGCACACGCGCCCACACATACACACACACACATGCACACGCGCATTCTCTCTCTTACACACACATACATACTCACAGGCACACAGAATTGCCCACGGCAAGGAGAAATGAATAATTAAAATAAAATTGACATTTGAAAAATGAATGCAATAACATGTATTCAATCATACCTCTTCCCAAAGAAAAGGTATAAGCTAAAATGAAAAAAATAAGGAATCCATCTCATTCCAATTCAAACACCACTACAGTATGTTCAAATTATCCCTGTTGACCTCCTTGCAGTTTATCGACCAGCTTTTATGTTTTTCCTTTTACTCTTTTGTATCTAAAAATACCCTTATAAAGTAAATCAGCATTTCCAGCATGATGGTCCAGTGATACAAAATCCAGAGGTTTCTTCCAGTTCAACTTTCAGCTTCTTTAAAGTAGTGCTTTGTATACAGTAATTACTTGGATCTTTTCAATGGGCAAACTTTCAGATAAATTATTTTATAATTACAAAATAACATTTCTGTACAGTAGAATAGAACTATAACAGTAGCTTTCTTTTAAATTCTGTTACTACCACTAAATAGGAATGTTCTTATTTTAAGAAATCATTACTTAAAATTCAGTATCTGTAAAATCCACCCCCACGGGTCCCACCCCCATTGAAAAGATGGAGTATTTACTATACTTGCTGCCTGTTGAACTCAGATTTGCCAAGTGTACAGTACACATTTGTCAGTGATGTCTTTTGTTTCCAGGTGTATTTCAGCTGTTTGTAAACTGACACTCAAATAGTGTAGCATGTTGAGAATTATATGTACTGTATGATCATATTGGCAACCCTGGGCACTGAACTTTTAAAGATTGAACATTTTATAATCATACCCCTCATTCAGATTTAACAGCTTGTTGTTTTTGTTGTAATAATCAGTGTTTATGGCTTAATGACATTTTATGTTGTTATTTTTTATTATAATCATTATTATTATTATTGTTGTTGTCGTTGTTGCTTTTGTTATTATTATCATCCTTATTGCTTGAATCCCAGTTTTTGCCAACCTAACATTACAATATCATCAAGAGATGCAAAATTTTCAAATTTCAACCGTATGCAGTTTAGCGCATCTGCTTGTAGATTTGATATTATATTATACATACATAAGATTTCATTTCTGGTTCCTGCTCATCCTGGCTCTTTGACGTTGCAGCCTAAAGCAAAGTGAGATAAGAGCCACTTTTTAATGCATGACACTTGCTACTGTAAAAAAAAAATTAAGATGTATATATATATATAAAGAAAAATGAGCACTGTTCCTCTGATCAAATGCATGATAGCTTCTTCATTTTCACATCTCCAAAAATAATCACTATGAACATTGGTATTGTTTTTCTGTGTAAATTGCAATTTGATATAGTTAAATTTGTGTTTTAACTTTTGATATAGCTAATTTGTATGTTTTTACTTAAAAGCTTGTTTTGATTTTTAAAAAGATTAATTTTTAAGGGTAGTAAGTTCATGTTATTCTGTTGCCTTAAACATTTGTTAAATATGTGAAATTGGCATTAATTTATCAAAGAATTGTGACTTAATCTTGGTGTTTTTAACTGAGCTGAAACATCAGTTCTGTATATACATCATATTTGACCTTTTATAACTTTAGTTCAGTCATGGATGTTTTCAGTGCATTATCGATCACAAAAGCATTAACAGAGTGTGAATATCTTTACAACAAAACATGCTGAATACAATCACAATAGGTACATGTATTACAGGTATATTTTATAGATTTAGACACATGTTACCTTTTTCTCTCAGTGAAAGTGGAGGGCTCTGCCATGGATCTAGTACCTGAGGGGGTGACGTATACGGAGGGTGACATAGAGACCTGGTTGTCCACTGCTGCCCTGTTCCTACACATTATGGATCACGTCATGTACACCTGCTTCACTGTCTCATATGTGAGTAGGTTTTTATAGATTAAAATGAATGTATTTTATTGGTTGTGAGATTGGCTTTTTGCTGTCTCTTGTGAAATGATGTAAAAAAGCAAATTGTTTCTAGTAGAAGAGACTAATGTGTTTTCTACCTATAATTGAAGCCATTTGATGGAGTGTCAAAACCTCAAGTACAAAATACTTTTTTTTTTTTTTTGGTGAGGGGACGAATGTTTCTTAGACTTCATCATGCATAAGAAGATTTTTCAGCTGCATTTTGAGTGGAATAATTTTCCTAGAATTTAACTCCCTTGTGGTATAGTAATAAGAAAAGACCTGTTTGTGCCACCTATTAGATTTTCATCAGTGTTTTCATTGCAATAATCAGGTTAATATTCCCTAATTGTTACATGGGAAAATTGAAAATTATCCACTGTGACATTTTAAAGATAATTTGAGATTTCCATATATATATATATATATATATATATATATATATATATATATATATATATATATATATATATATATATATATATATATCGTCATAATAAAAGCAACACAAGTCAGTTAAAAATTAGGCTTCTCATTGCCATGGGAAGACTGACAGTGAATTTGTTTTGATTCAAAAGCTTCCCTTAAAACTACATTGTTTAAAACAATTCAACTGTCTGTCACTATTACTCTTATCTCTTTATAATGGTATGTTTAAATTTCTTACGTACTACCACAGGTAGAAGAGGGTGCTGCTGCCAGTTTCCACTCTCCAAAAATACCCTATGCCATTGACGTCAACTGGTCTAAGACCTCCACAATGTTAGACATCCCATCTCTGCTGTACATCAACCACGTAATCCCTGCAGAACACAGGGGAAAATGGAGACAACTCTTCTACAGTGACACTCACGGGGAAAGTTTTGCAACCCTTATGAAGAGGATAACAAAGCAAGGGCCGACTGTGATTATTATCAGAGACAAAGATGGTTATGTGTTTGGAGGGTTTGCATCAACAGGCTGGGAGTGTAGACCACAGTTTGTAGGTGGGTAGAGGGGATGTTTAAGTAATAAATGTGTTTTTACAGTAAGCACATGAAGGTCCTATATTAAGAAGCTAGGGTTTTGCACTTGATTTGTCTAGTCCAGTGGAATCAGGATTGCAAAATCAGGTCTTGCTGTTGTTTGCATATTGGGAGAGTACCAATACCAGTTGTGATATTGTTGCAGTATTGATAATCAGTCATTGATAAAATTAATTTCAGATGCATACTTTTAATTGTTTATGATAGAATAATTTTTTTAAGAAATGGAAAACTTGCTTAAACAGATAATGATATTGTCTAACTTGCACTAAGACACTAAGAAAAAAGATATCCCTACTTTGTCGAAATTTGAGGAAAAATGTACCATAGCATTCTGGAATAATTTTTGAGATCCATTTTCTCATGAAAATCTCTCTCTTCAGGGACCTCAAGATGTTTCCTGTTTCACCTGTTGCCCCATTATGCCATCTATTACGCCAGTGGTTACAATGATCACTACATGTATCTCAACCAGAGCCAGCAGACGATGCCAAATGGTCTGGTGAGTACGTGAAATTGTGTCAGCTGTGACGTTGATTGTGTTGGTTGTGTTTAGTTCTTTGGTTGTGTTGTGTTAGGTATCAACTTGATTTTGTCAGTTGTGTCAAGTTCATGCAGTAGTTATGTAATGTTGAGAGCAGCATTTTTTCTCCTTTTCATATACATAAGGAGGTATATTGTTTTCAGGTTGAAATGTTAGGGAACAAAAAAAGATCAAACTATGAACACCAGCAAGAAGAAACAAGCATAAATATAAAATTACTGTCAAGGTTGCAGCTACATGTTTAGAAGAAATAAATTGTCACTCTTTGTCGATGGATTTATTTATTTATTTATTTATTTATTTATTTATTATTGTAGGGTATGGGTGGTCAGATGGAGCACTTTGGACTGTGGTTGGACTGCCATTATGGCCAGGGATATTATTATTATTATTATTATTATTATTATTATTATTATTATTGTAGGGTATGGGTGGTCAAATGGAGCACTTTGGACTGTGGTTGGACTGCCATTATGGTCAGGGATACAGTTATGCCAAACCTCTCTGCACAACTTATCAGAGTCCACAGCTTTCTATGAAGAAAGACTTTGAGATAGATCTACTGGAGGTGTGGGGCGTGGGGAAGAAACCTGGAGAGGAACTGGGTGAAGATGGCCCACAGGTAAATTACATGTGATGATTGCCAATTGTTTTTGTTGACTCAGTGATATTTTGTAAGAACACCTGATAACATATTTTATGAGTGAAGTATGACTTTCTTAGTCCAGAAATCAAGTGAGTGTTCAATATCTAAGTTTTATGGTTTTGTGGTATCCAAATGGATACCTTTTTCAATGAGTGAGATGAGAAATCCAAATTTCCAAAAACACGTGATTGTTAATGTTCTAAATGACAAGAGCTGTCCACATATACTTGTGTGTCAGTCAGTTTTGACCTTGAACTTTACCCACATTTTACAATGAAATCCAGGACTGGATTGACCACCGGCTTCACCTGTTCAACATTTATGATACATATAATTATAATAACTACATAATGTAATTAAAATGCCCCATATTTTCAGGAAAAGCAGAGTATACTGGACGTGGACCCAGAGGCCAAGGCCATGCTATCCTTACTGGGCAGGGGTCCTGTCAGCGAGGGTCTCAGAGAGGCCGACCCAGAAGCCTCTAACCCAGAGGAGCATAACAGAAATTTTTGAATCAAAACTCAGAGGACGGATAGGTGTAAGCATTACCACGATGATTAAAGAAAAACAAGAAGAATAGAAGTATTCAAAAGATCAAATGGATACAGTTCAAATACAGCACAGTATTAAGGGGTGTAAGGATTTTACTAATTAAAAGGTGAAGGGGAATGAAGGGCTTATGAATGTGCCATTGGTTAAAGAAATCCGAGAGCACACTGCTGGAGAAAATAGTTTTCAATGCAGCTGAGGCGCACCCTTTTGGAGGTTTATAGCTTTTCCATGTTTTCAGATTTAAATAAAACCGAAACAGAGGGAATGGAAAACATGTCAAAGTTTGTGTTTGCTGCATATTGGCACATTTTTAACTGAAACAGGGGAGAATATCGTGTTTTAAAAGTAAGAAGTGAGACTAAATGATCAAAAGTTGCATTTAAGCATAAACGAAAACTTTGCTCTCAAAACTTGACAACCTCATGTTTCAATGTTCACAACCTGTCTTGTACAGTGTTAACTTGGTGTATTTTAAGGGAATGTGCACAGCTTAATTATTTTGTGTTTGTCAACTTTGTGATAAATATATAAGTTGTCACTGGTAAAATTTTACATGCCATTGTTCATGTTAAGCAAGGTGACCGACTCACAATAGGCAGCAAGGTTTGCCATGTAAAAATATAATGTAACAGTCCCAGTTGTGCTTCAATCTATTACTTGGTTGAATGTGATAAATGCCAATTTATGCAATTTATGTTTTTGTGTATATACACATAGATGACCTAGCTATGAATATGTAATATTACCTCGTTTGCTCTGTTCTGATATGTGAAATTAGTAGAATTTTTAAATTATTTCAGTCTGATAATGCCAGGTTTTTGGGAAATTGTTAAAAGTGTTGTCATGTGTAGGCTAATGTATATAACCTATAGCATTCTGATAATATTGATCAAGTTTCATCTGAAATGCTTCTTGCCAAAGCCCATTCCAAGTGCAATGCCAGCATTTTAGTTGTGAAATAAAATCTCATTTCATTTGTTGAACTGCAATTTTCATTTAAGTATTTTGTTTTGATTTACTGATCCTAAAGTGGTTTTGTTGTTTTATTGTTGCATATTGAAAACAAAGGTGAATTTTATACAAATGATAAATGTTACAACAGTTTGCAGCACCTTAACAATGGGGAATACTGGATATAAATCCTAAACATGAAACTACTCAACTCTGTCGAGATTCAACAAGTAAATGATACAAGTGCTACAATTCCTATATACACATTGGTATATGATAATATTTTAGAACATCTATATGTGTAACAGTACTTCACTGGGTTAAAACTGTCCACTTATTGAGCAAACAAACAAGGTAAAACTTTCCTTGGTATAATCTTATATCATTTTAAAGATATATTCCTTCTTCTTGAAAAAGTTTCAACTATTCTAAAATCACCTTATATCACTTCAACAAATAATTCTTCTTTTTGAGAAGGTTTTAACAATTCTGTAATCTCAAAATATACCAGAACAGTACTTGTAATGGTTCATGTACCAGTTCTTCCTTGACAATAATCAAACTACTGAACTGGAAAAGCACTAAGATAGCAAAGTCCTCCGCCAAGGCAGCTTGATTCATTGATTAACTAGAGGATCAGAGAGGCGATACCGCCTCCGAATATTGTACCACCAGCTGGAGCAAGTGCATTCGTATAGACCCCCACATACACAAAAGAAGGGACACAGCCACCAGTCTTATGCTTGACAAGCTGTAAAAATGCAATCAACAAGAATTTTCAAAATATGCAAAAAAATATATATAACTTAAAATGGTACAATCAAAGTTAAGTTCATCGTAAGGTAGGTCAAAGGTCAATTTCAAGGTCACAGTAAATTGCCAGTATATGGCTTCATATTCAACTTTAATGGTAACTATGGACCTATCTCTGCCAGGTTTGGAGTTAAAAGAGAAAGAAATTTGCAAAGTTCAGTTCATAGTGAAAAGTAGGTCAAAGGTCAATTTCAAGGTCACACTTAGATTGCCAGTATATGACTTTCCATGCAAGTTCAATAGAAACTATGGACCTATCTCTGCCAGTTTTGGAGATAAAAGGGAACCAAAATTTGCAAAATTCAATTCATGATAAAAAGTAGGTCAAAGGTCAATTTCAAGGTCACACTTANTATACCAGAACAGTACTTGTAATGGTTCATGTACCAGTTCTTCCTTGACAATAATCAAACTACTGAACTAGAAAAGCACTAAGATAGCAAAGTCCTCCGCCAAGGCAGCTTGATTCATTGATTAATTAATTAATCTGATTCCAAGATATTTCATTGCTGATCTATCTTGATTTTTTTTTATTAAAAAATACTTCAAACCTTTTATAGGTCTACAGTTAAGCTATGCTCTGACCAACAAAAGCAAAAACATAGCCTCCTTGGCGGAGGTAGCAAATTGCACGTATGTCATTCTTCAACTGTAATGCAACCAATCAAGAGACACAGCAATTATCATCCTCTTTGGTGTGTATGGCACCCTGCAGTAAGGTGTTCAATACAGCTTTAACAATGTAGCACATGGTTCCACGCCTTGCATTGGGGGGCGTGTTATAAAAGACAAACATATTGTCCTTTGTAGTGTCCTCTTTCTCTTTGCTCTCGTGAACAACCAGCTCACGCTTGAACATCTCAAAAGCTTCGTGTACAATCTGAAATATAAATAATATTTTGTTAAAGTCAAATGTACATTGTTATTGCATGTCAAGGATGACAGTGTTCAAGAAACCAGGCAAGACCGGGTAAATCTTTACTTTCTGGCCTGATGATCTAGTGACAAAAGTTTGTTTTACTGGAAAAGACGCTTTTAGATGCGCTGGTACAGAATTAATCCTGTTCTGTTAGATACACTAATAAAGTTGTGTGTAAAATGGTATCCAGTTCATGAAGAGGGTGCAATGGTAGGAAGAAAGTGGGTGTGGCTTCTCAGTATGGCTGTGCTGGTTTCACTGTGTTACATGACTGTTTGAAGTGTCACTGTGATGAATATGACAGTTAGATGTGACGACTGTCAGTATGGCTGTCAGGTTTGACTGTGCTGTGTTGGATGTTAGATGTCACTGTGTTGGATGTTAGATGTCACTGTGTTGGATGTTAGATGTCACTGTGTTGGATGTTAGATGTGACGAGTGTTGGATGTTAGACATCACTGTGTTGGATGTTAGATGTGAAGAGTGTTTGTCTGCCTGTGTTGGGTGTGACATATTAGGTGTACAAGTTCATAAAGTACAACTGACCCTGTCCAGTTCTACTGCTGCAGGAAACTCTATCTCAGGATTTCTTCTCAAGATTGTGGACACAACCGTAAGTGTCTAAAAGAAGAAATAGTAGTTTCAATTTATTAACAATAATAAATAATAAAATCTGCAGCATTTACAATTTTTGAAATAATATTATGTTGGCATCAATTATTATAGAAGAATGCATGTGCATGCATGTCTCACCTCCACGATCACAGATCTGTAAGCAGGATCCAGAATTTTACTGAGCATCTGTTCAACAAGCAGGGAGAAGTTCATCTCATACATTGTCATGTCTGATAACGTGGGTTGCTGAAAACAAAGAGAAGCTCATGTATTTCACTTTGTACTTAGTCAGTGCAGGCATGACAAAACTGTCAGTCCTAAGCCAAAGAATAACAAAGAGCATTTTGCACTGGCGTGATAAAGTTCATATAGGTTCTGTTCACCAACAGCAAATTTCATTGTTTACAACAATTCACATTTATTCACGTTTAAACTCGTTTCTGCTGCATAATCAAACTGAAAGTCAGTCAAGCTGTCCGTCTATTTACTAGACCTTAGTGACAAAGATGTCCACTTAATTCATGATCATTTAAAATGTTCAGACTGGTACATATGTTTGGACAGTATTCTGAACTTTTTTCCTGAATGACTGGTGTTATCCCCCATCCCCCCAACAAACAAACAAACAAACAAACAAACAAACAAAAAAAAAAAAGGTCTAGCATGATGGAAGTGACAACTACACAGTTAAGTTGGCTAAAAAGACTGAATAGGCCCACATGGCTCTAGAACATATTTAATTGTGACCACTGGGTTAACTCACCTGGGGGAGCAGGTACCCAGCTACCTTGATCCCCCCTGGTGTTTTCTCCAAGATCTCCCACACCCTGTCATAGAAATCAATAGGGACTCTGCCCAGAGCACCATCCAGCTGCCGCTTGTGAAGGGGAGCTCTGGAAAATACTTCCTTATTTAAGTTTATGGTCGCTGGAACATTAATATATATATATATATATATATATATATATATATATATATATATATATATATATATATATACACAAAGATGTAATCTATATGTTCAGTCAATTTTCTAATGCCGTGAATTCTCCTGGCAATTTTTTTCAGTCGTCAAGAGCTAACCTCCACTATCACCAAACCTGTTTCCAGTGACTCGTATGAAAGGGCAATAAGCTGTTGAACTGTGCTTCAAAAATACAAGTTCAAAAATTGATAAAACTCATATGCCTTGGCACTATAAACCGCCCATGTGCAAATCAAAGACAGCTAAGGTATACATAACTGAATAATGCTTCATCACTATGGTATACGAACATTTTTCACACTAGCCAGTAAGTTTACCTTTTAGGGATACTCCTGTCATATTTTCCAAGCACTGTTAACAGGACTTCTTTAATCTCACTGGGAGACAGAGCCATTAGGGAGAGCTCTGTTCCCTCCAGGTTGGCAATCTCTAGACGCATGGCCTCTATCATCCATCTGGAAGAAACAGACTAGTGTGAGGGTGCATTCCCCATGAAACTATCATTCTATGCCTTTACGAAAAAGTCTTATAGGATCCTATTGGACCAATTTCCTATAGAATCCTATAGGATCCTATAGGATTTTTTCGTAAGTGTGTAGCTTCAGCTTCTGGACGCTTTTCACTTCCTTTTTTGAGTGCAACTGAATGCACACAAAAGTAAACATCCCCTTGCTGGCATTCAGTTTATCTGAAAGTATTCATTGAGAGACTTCACAGAGTTGAATTCATCTATGTAGATGATAGTTTCAATGGGAATGGACCTTTTGATTTGATTTGTTGGAATATGTGTTAGATGTGACAGTGTGGTGATTGTGCTAGTTGAGACAGCTAGGCACACTATATTACCAAACATGTGCATGTAACTGCACACAGATATAAACATGTGTGAGATAGATAATTACACTGCCATTCATGCACATTTTCTTCTGCACTGCCACCTACCCAATCCTAATCTTGAGTATCCCACTGAAGAGTTCTGGAAAAGTAGAGATGAACTTCCCAATACAAAGTATAATCTCCTGCTGTAGGACTGCCTGGCTGATGGAATAGGGCATACACTTGCTGTAGATGATGTCTTTGATTTGGTTGGGAGCCATGGGCTTGCCTATCACATCCTCCTCATGGCCAAATACTCCAATAGTCACCTGGAACACAATCATGGTAATAGTGTAGACTGTCACATCTAATACATTCTCTGTCACACCTAACACATTCTCTGTCACACTCATTGCTACATCTTACACACTCACTGCCACACCTAATATACTATCATAGTTAACACCCTCACTGCCACACCTTGAACACCTGTGACTCAAAAACACAATTTTTAGCTAACTCAGTACTAGCAGTCCAAACAAAAATAACCATGATAGAGTGGTCAAGTCTTCCACTTTCACTAGCAAGGCTACAAATTATGGTATCACTGTCATAACCACCTCAATTTGTGCTGCCTTTTCCACTCATTGTCACACATAACACACTTCCTGTCACATCTAACTCACTTCCTGTGACAACTAACACACTTCCTGTCACACCTAACACACTTCCTGTCACACCTCACTCACTTGTTTCCCCCTGACCAGTATAGCTGTGATAGAAGGGGCAAGACTGTCCACCAGTTTTCCCAACAAAGCTGCACAATATCTGACCACCGCCCAGTTCTTCTTTCTCCCAGAATTTCGAAGTAGCCGCTCAAGTCTCTGTTCAATAGTGGAGTCATCGATACGGTACTCCATCCCCTCTCTCTCTAGTAGGACACCCAAGATCTGAGACTGAGCATGCATATTGTCAAAGCCATGTAGTTTTTGGACTATATCACGCGAAGAGAGCTGCTTTAGTTCCTAGAAGAAAATACATGATAATGTAATAAATATATAAACACAAGCATCTTGTTCCCAGGCTATACAGGAGGACAGTATAATTAACCAGAATAGCTTCAAACCATGCAATATCAGGGGCGGATTCAGACATATTTTCTGACAGTCTTCCAAATTATCTTTGTTGATCCATTCTTCATTTTTGACCGTCTTCCAACAGAAAAATTAGTTACCCGTTAATGTAAACTTGAAAATCTGACCGTTTTCCGGAAGACCCAGAAGACGGCCTAAATCCGCCCCTGAATATGTACCTCTATGTTGATGGCTATGTCTTCTTCTGGCACAACCTTCGGAATTTCAGTCAAACTCTTGAATGAGGAGCCGAGCTTGAGTTCTTCAACATGGCGGAAGGTGCACTCAGAGTCCTCTATCAAAGACTGGAGGAAGTCCAGATTCTCTATACAAGCAGCTGGGATAAGACTCTGGAATAAACCATCACCATGGGGCAATCAGCAGCATGTAATAAATAAGTTAAATACACAGGTTCAATAGACAACAGCTTGACTTGAGGTTGAAATTTGTAGGAAAACATCTAAGAGTTAACAGAAACTATACTTCTAAAGAACTCCAGTTGAAAATTGGTTTTAGCGAAGACTAGGAATAATCCTGATAAGTCTGTTTTTACTAAGAATCAACAAGGTCATTTGCCTTCTTTTTTTTTTTTTTTTCTTATTTTCAATTTTCGAATTGTTCTTCTCCTGACAGATAAAGACAGAAAGACAAATAAATAGAGAGAGAGAGAGAGATGGACAACATTTTCCCCATACTCCATACACTAAAGATTTACCTGTAATCTCCCTAGCCTCACTCTGATGTCTCCGACCTGGCCACCTTTAAACTCGGCCAGCAAGTCCAGGAACTCCTTAGTGCTGGGGCCGCGGATATTCTCCTCTCTGATCAGCATACAGAAGGTAGGCCGACCTGACAGCTTCCAGCATTTGGCCAGGAAGGCAAGGTCACTCTGAAATAGTTGGACCAGTTCAGACATGGGGAAGACTTTTGAGTTACTACAGGTAAGGGGCACTATATCAACATGTCCTCCTAATTCTATGGAAATTATCTTGGAATTTCCAGAGTTTATCAAACTAAGAACCGTACATGTTGTATTGGTTTTATAAAAGATTAATTTAGCAGCTTACCTTGACATCGTCAATGACATAAGTCATGTCTTGAGAGAGATAGAAGTCACTGAGCTCAAATAAAAGTGGAAAACACACCACAATGTGACCACACACTTGGTACAACTGAAATGTTACAGAATACACACATACTCAAGTTAAATGATCATAATGAGAAATATTGAAAATTTAAAGACACAGTATTACAGTTATTGCATATAAGGTAATGAAAATGAGAAGTTTTTCATACGTGCCACATAATATTAATGCTGCAGTCCCAGTCAGTTTGCATCAAAAACAAATCAATTCTTATTTCATTATTTTCTTTTAAAATCTAATATAATTAAGGTCTGCTCACTGACCTTAGAAGTGCCCAGTCCACCAACTGGCCTAAGTGGACGTCCAGTCAGGCCCAGCTTGTTGTTAATTCCCAGGTAGCTGAAGGCTTTGGTCAGTTCGTTAGGTGACCACACCTGTATGGGTTCAATCTCGTGGGGAGTCTGGGTGAGAATGCCGTAGTTTGCCAACATCTGCTGTAGTCTCACGCTCTCGGCTATGAGAACGATCTGCACGATGAGGTCGTTTGCTGTACCCTAGAATACAGGATAACAGTAAAGGTTTACAGTTTAAGACACTGGACTCACTTCATCAAAGAGAAGAGAGCAAAAGACACAATGCTCTCAGTTATTTCAACCAGACTAAGGGAAAGTGTACTGATGTAAGTAACTGTAATAGCACGTTTTAGGTAAATGACAAATGCATCAGTTTCTGAGACAGCTCCTTACAAATATAATTTAGTAAAAGTGCAAAAGTTATACTAAGCCTTGAATGAGTGAGCAGAAAGAATGGTATTAAATCACTGATTAACTTCTAATTAATCAAAATGTAACAAAGAATCTTGTAAATCGAACATGCAAGCTATAGATGAGCCAGTTCAAGAAGAGAGTTTACTCTTCTTCTTACTTGTTCTTCATCGTTAAGTTTAGCTTATATTTCTAAGACACTCTCAGGGAAAAATATTCTAACAACTGGGTCTTAGCTAAGGTGTCAAACATATCGGAGTACATATATCTTCACAGCTATTACTGGTTCAGCAACTTGAAAAACATGGAAACTACTCTTCAATTTGTGCACACAAAATATTATAAAATCAGAGAAAGACTTGGTATTCTGTAGATACAAATATCATGCTTGCTAGAATATTCATCACAGAGAGGTGAATAACCAAGTTATAATACATGTTACATCTAGAAGAAAAAGAGGGAGAACATATAAATATTTCAGAAGTCTCGTTTTTGTCAAAAGAGCTTTGTCACAATGTTGAACTTGCACTCAGTGAGCTAATCTGTTTTTTCCTTGGTGATAACTTACAAACCATTATAAATACATTGTTATGCAATTTATTTCTTATATGGATGTAAATAAGGAATGTAATTAATGTGCCATTGTTATAATATGATTTATTCCTATAAAGCAGCTATGTCAATTCAATATCACTGCTGCAAAATAAGCTAATAATTTTATATACTAGCAAATATGCTTGTAGTTTCATATACTTGCAAATATGCTAATAAATTCATCAACAAAAAGCACACCATATGGCATATAATGGTGTAATATGTTTGTTGCCAAATAACTGTTTTTTTGTTTTTTTTTAGAGACAGATTGAGAAAAAAATAAGAGAAAGAGAGTGAGAGAAAGAATGGGAAGGAGAGAGAGATGTGAGTGGAATAAAGAAGATTTCAAGATTAACTTATTATGGATATTTGATATTATAATAGATATCTGATATGCATATTTATGTACACATTGAACGCACACAGAGTAAATGTCCAGTTGCCCCACACTGAAAATCAAGATCCAGATCTTTTAATCAAAAACATTATTCACCAATAAAAATATCATTTCAATCAAAATGAACCACATCTATATCAGAGTCATCCATATGTAATCTGAACCAACACCTTAAGCTGAACAGAAAACTGTGAAACATCCAACTTTCTTATTTAACATAAACAAGTTAATAACAAGCAACAATGTTCCAATAAATTGTCGAAAAAAATTAAACTTTCAAAAAATGTCCAAACTGTAACATGTCCATAAAAAAGGAAAAAATCTCTAGTAGGGTCAAGCTAACATGTTAAACTATTTTCACTCCCCCCCCCCCCAAAAACAAAAAAACAAAAAAATT